ATATATATATATATATTATATATATGTATATATATATATATATATATTGATATATATATATTTTACATATGTGTATGTATATACATATATATATATATATATAATTGTTTATTTATTTGTTTGTGTTGCTGCTCAAGTAGCTTGAGAATTTCTTTAAAATGGATATGAGCACTTTATATAGATCTTATATATTATCATTTAGGCCTATTACTGCTGTACGGTACATTTATAAATATCAATGCGTTGTAAGCCCTAATCACAGCTCTCTAAGAATAAATAGTTCTAATGTAAATGCTTCCTCTTGCAAACCAAAACCGTTTTAGAAACATGCGTCTTCAGTGTCTGATTTGCTTTAATGTAATATACAGTATTTACAACTCGACTACCAAGGCAAATATAATCTAGACTATACTTACATTACAAATAAATACAAACAACAGATGTTCCTCATTTTTAACTGCACGGGTAATTTTATCACAGGTAAATAAATAAATGTTCTAATAATACCATACACTAAACCTTCTAGGCTGGGAAGTTATTTATTTTTCACGCATTTTTATAGATAAATTCACTTTTGATTATGAATGACATTTAAGAATTTACAAGAATAACTTTATTTGGAAATATACTAAAATTTGTGATTTAATATATCTTCAATAATCTCTACAGCGACCTATTTAAATATAAACAATAGTTTGCCACATTATCGCATGCAAAACGTCTTGACAAACTATTTTAGTATAAAACTGTTTTTTTTTTAATTATGCGAATTCTGTTATATTGTACCATAAAACCAGATTAATTACAACAAGTTCCATTAAACTTGGTTGCTTGTGTATAACACAAAAAAATAAATATACCAAATAAAATAATATAAGAAATAAAAATGGAGACATGATTAGAGGGCAATAAATTGATAGTTGTTTATTCTATTTACATAGGAAATTTACATAAGACACATAAAAACAAAGTAATAATATAAAAAGTTAAGATAAAACGTATATAATAACAAATTTATATAAGAGGGACGTATAAAATGTACTTACATAAGACCTAACTCATATAAGAACGAGCATATATCAAAACGAACTTATATAAGAACTTGTTTAAGAACGAATAAATGAATATTCATTTGAGTGCTTCAGGTAAAAACTTCTCTTAAGTGATCATCTCAGAGTTATCAAATAAGAAAATATGCTAATATCCAATTTGAACATTAAATAATTAGAGGCAAACATGTTACAATAATCGAGAACCCATAAGGCATGAATATTAACATATTAATATTCGATAAGTAATCATTTTTATTACGAATTAATAAAAGCTAAATTGTTCTTACTGCGAATGCAAATTGATTCAAGGCTAATATACTCCAATACGTAGTATTAGATATATTCTTAAATAGCATAAAACAAATTTTCAATTAATTTATTCATTACATTATAAGTTATTTGACACAATCATGTAACAAAAAAATATGTATAATTTACGATTGCTCGATTTTTTTTAATGATCAATTACATCAAGAACGTCCAAATCGTATTGGTCATTTTAGCAGCACTTCATTAACCAACCAAGCATACAAATATGCCTAAGCATTGGAATTCTTTTATAAGTATGAGATGTATCATTGACAAAGTAGATAAGATTATTAATAATTTACAACAATGATTAAACCACTAAAGCAGGAATGTAAAATAGTTGAAATAACTAACGTGTGCTTATCTATGGAATTATGTCTTGATTTATACATTTAACAATATAAGACAATGAACAATTTAATTCTAAGCATGTTGGCGCAGGTCTTGTCATTAATTCACATGTCCATTAACAGACGTCATTCAATGTTAGACAATGACATGACTGTCCGGTTAAAGATTTCAGAACTGTATTAATATCTGTTTTCACAAAAATCATGTTTGTGAAGAATATACTTTTAATCGCTGTCTTCATTTATGTACAAGTGCTACAGGTTCAAACGCTGATGAACCATCCGCTGCGTGGGAGATTCGTGTTAACGTCCCTTGTGATGTGATAGTAATAGCCGTTGAGGTGGCTGGAGCAATAGTCGCTTGTATGTTGTCTGTTGTTAACGGTGTGGCTTCCTGAACGTCCTTAACTTTTTCTGCTGTTTCTTTATCGCGCCTTTCTCTAGCTCGTCTGTTTTGAAACCATATTTTGACCTGCAAACACAACAAAGAAACATTAAATATGTTTTTTTTTTCTGAAAATTAAACGATATAATATATACATAATGACTAATATAATTATGTTATGATGGCAATATTATTTATTAATATATACACTGTATTATACTATAGTTATTATATTTAAAAATATATATTCGATTTAGGTTTGCTGCGCAAACAAGAATAGTTAAATAAGTTAAATAATGATTAAGTGTGGAGTCTGGTTGTTTCCTTCACTCAACTTTGCATTTCCCTCACACGTTGCTAGAGCTTGATACTATTATTAACATATCGTGTTCCTCTATTTGGGCAATGTTATTATTATTATTATTTTTCTGTACATATATTATAATGGCTGGGCATTACATAATCATATAGGCCTATTATAATTAATAATAGTAATACACATTATAAAAGTAACGCTGATGTTGATGAAATATGACATCGTATACATCTATGTATACATCTAACAATAGTTAGGCATAGGCCCTAATTATATAACAAAAGGATTGACTTTTACAACGACTTTGCATAATATTAACACTAGAGGTAAAGACCGGGATATGAAATAAGACAGATTTATTTAAAAGTTTTGTCTGGAAGGCAATAAAATGTATACTAAATAGTGTTCTTTTATCAAGTGCCTTTGCCTTGTTCATCCATCGTTTCAATTTTATCGTAACTTAACCACAGTCACCATTGAATATTGGTTTAATTTGATTATTTATACCTGGCCGGTTACAATACGATTGAATGCAAGCATTACAGTCCTTTATACTAGCCGAAGGACTCAAATTAAGTAAGGAGTTAAGTGGAAAGGGGTTCATTCCTTTACACGAAGTCGTATCTATTATTGAATTCTTGAGCGTCAATCGTGCTAAACAGCTTGGCCTTGCAGAAAATCTTACATTCAGAATTTAGGCCTATGCCATGAAGATCTGTCCATCAATTTAATCGGCCTATGTATTGATCAGTGTTCGATAGTTAACGACGATTAGGAAGCTGAACGTGGAATAAAACACAGGCGGATTATTTCATTAGCAACAATTAGAAAGCGTGCTCTAAATAACTTCAAAACTCTTCCGATGGGCTATTTGTGGGCGATAGGGAATCATCCGGCCTAAATAAGATTAACCATGTATCATAATGAACACTGAGAAGAAGGGAGAGAGAGGCTTAAGAAAACATTATTTTATATATTGCAAAGGAATTGTGATAAATAAGTGCTCGTGATAATAGAAAATCAATGGCGAGAGAAGAAGCGGTTTCCAGCTCATGTATAGGGGATGACCGAGGAGCATTGTTGACACAATACTGGTTATGATTAATGCGCTCTTAAGATGTAATGAAAAAAAACATCTTTTATATTTTATTATTATTGCTCAATAAAAACATTAACAACATACTCAAAGCAAAAATTACATACATGAATGTCGCACAAACGCCTATCGTACATCGTTAAGAAACTCAACATAACAAAGAAAAAACACCCTCTCTTAAAAAATAAATAAATAAATAAACACTAATGCATTTAGGCCTATTTTTAATATCAAACCAAGATTCAAATGGTTTCGAAGCAGAGTTAGGCCTTATAATAATGACATACGCCATTCTAGTGTATTATTTAGGTGTTGGCTTATACCTACTGTATATAGGGCGTATTGAATATAAACCACCAACTCCAAAGAGAGTGTATCATTCAAGAGTCAATATGAATATCTATCTAACCTCACAGCTCAGAATAACAAAAAGATGGACATTAATATTGACAATTTGATTATAGTACCGGTAAATCAAATATATCTTTTTCAATTTACACCACTGTTTAATAGTATAGTCTTTGGGGACTTACTGGGACTATCGCTGGTTGGTACAACTAAGCTTTATCTTACTTAAACCATACGCTGACCAGTGTAAATAATAATATAGTGTTATTCGAATTTGTCCTAATTCTGTGGATATTATGATGTTAAGACTGCATAGTCGCCAGATAAATAATAGAAAAGTGACGCGCCAGCGTCCATCCGTTGCTAATATGAACGCAACGACCATAAAACATAATGTTTTAAATGATTTAATAAGATGCGCATTGCTAAGGGCGCATAACCGAATGTAAAACCAATTTCATAAATTTATAGAAAGAAATGTTTATAATTTGTAATACCACGAAGTCTTTTTGAAATAATTATTTAAGTGTTTATAAGAATGCAATATGTTGGTCAGTCTGCAACAGAATTCAATTACAAAATGTTTTTACCTAGAAAAGCTCGACCTGAGAGGCGTCAATGAGAAATTCAGGCCGGGTTCCAAACTGCATTTTGACAATTTTCGTGGTACGGAGGACTTACTTAAGAAGTAAGTCCAGTCTAGAGTCAACCAATTAAATTCTTTAGTTTTTTCTAATTGACAAATGCGTAAATTAAGTTGATATGTCTATGAAATGAAATACCAAAGAAGACAATTAATTTACTCAAGAATTTAACATTTAAATTGATTAATATGATGAGATATTTTATATTATTCCTTGAAAAAGTATTTGGCGTTCTGATATGATGTATGATTTAATTCCCGGCTGGCGCTAGTTTCATACAAAACTGTCTACAGTTTATACTTAAAACTGATTTTCTTTTTAAATTTCATAAAGATTTGAATAGGCCTAAAATGTTTGTAAAAACTAGCGACCATATATGGATGTATAAGTATAGTTTTAAAGTAAAATATGTTTAAAAAATAAATACCGTAAATTGCATAGCTCATTTAAAAGAATCAATGAGCTATTAACAATGATGCTTTTTCACACTTTTTATTTATTTTTTTTTGTATTTTTATAGTCTAAACAATTTCGATTTTTGCTTTTGACTTTCTTACTATTATGTATAATTCAATTGCTGTTTACTTTGATTGCAATAAAGACATTTTGACTTGAATTTAAGTTAACCTTAAATAATTATTGTGATTATACACCTAGATTAAGTTTTAATTATTGACCTTATTTAAAATATTGATTACAGCTAACCTAAAGAAATCAAGAAAGGAATATGAAGAGTATTAATTACATTCGCCCAGTTAGTGGTAAGTAAACTATTGTATTATTCAATTAACTTGGCCTAAATATTAAAAATAAGCAATTGAAATATTTGACATTCATTTTTTTTTAACACAACACGGAGGGTATATATACATTTAATATATAATTATTCAATTGTATATTAAAGATTAATAGTTTTTAAATACCTATTGTGGCAGAAGTAAAAACATATCCTTGTGTCAAAAATGAAGATAAATAAAAAGATAATTGATAAGACGTAATGCTTACGGGCATTTCGCATTACTTTTTTCATTTATAAAATGTTTAACGCGTCTTCCATTGTTCAGTATTTTATGTTGATTGCCCTATCGTATCTTTATATTCGTTTAAGCCTTGTCTACAGTATATTGTTAAAAAATTTGGTTTTTTTTTAATGCACAGATCTAATTCATTTGATTGTGTTTAACCTATTTATCATTACAAACAGCGTATCCATCTTTATTCTGTGTGGCTATAATTTCTTTGTATGGACAGGAGAACTCTGAACTATATCTGCTGTCGGCTTTTTGAATAAATCAGTAAGTGAATTGAAATTAAATGCATTGCCGGTGTTTCATCCTTTGGTTATAATACAGACTTTAGTTCGTTTAGCGAGATCAATAAACGTTAGAAGAACTGTAAATTTATTGTTAGATGTTAAATATTTATCCATCCAAATATATCTGATTTAGAACGCATGGCAGCCTATCATCAGTTAATTGAGACGAATGTTAAAACTATTATCTTATAATTATTAATACATCAATGCATGTTTAGCCTATATCGTCACTGATATTTTCGAGCCAGAAAGCATACTATAGTTATTAATACATACTGATTGCCTAGATAGGTTTGTTTATTATTATTATTATTATTATTATTATTATTATTATTATTATTATTATTAAGAAGGTATTATAATGCACAGACCAAAATTGAACGA